GGTTTATTATTTGAGAAATCTTTAGTACTCATGTTACAGGGCATTAAGACAAAACATATTCTAGTTTTTAAGACCTTCAATGGAAAGAAACTTTAATACAATTAATGTGTAATACAGAAAAGGGGAAGAATATAGTTTCCAAATCAAGCACCCAAAGTTACTCATCCCCTCATGGGTAAATGTCTAGACCAACGGGGTTGGCCCAAAGCAGGGCCACTGAGGTCTGAAAGCCTGCCACAAGTCTAAGGCACATTCTGGCAGGGACCCATAAAATAGGGTCAGAAACCCAGGACAAGTCTGGGAGGAAAAGAATAAAATCAAAATCAAGATAAAAGCTGCCATTGTTATCCTCCCCGTGGGTCTCTCACCACGTCTGTTTCAACTAGTCCAGGACAAAAAAGTAAGTACAACTTCTTCACATGTCTGTGCTCCATGTGCCTCCTTCAGGTCTCCTCCTGGCTCTCCATTCTTCTTCCTTTCTTCTTCAGTCTCCTGAAGGAGCATTTTTTTCCTCCCTGCTCAGCTCCATCCTCCCTTGGGTGAGGCAGGGAACCTGAAACCTCCCCTTTTCCTGGGGACCATCCTGTTACACTCAGGTACAGAGGTTTACTGGGGTATAAATCAAGTCAGTAACACAGAAGTTAACAGGAAAATAAAAGAGAGATGGTGAAAATATATATACCAGAGGAAAATGGACTGGAATGTACTTTGGTGAGTAATTGGATCAACTATAAGTGATAAATGCCCAATAAATATATTAACTTTTTATTAAAAAAGTTTTCCCTTTAAAAGTATTTTAACTCTTATTATGTCTTCCTACAATTATTGATTAGCTAAGCTTTTAAACATTTTAAATCCTTCCCATGTTACTTGGTCCATTTCTTCACTTACATTGCTGTTTCTGAGGTTCTCTAAATGGTATACAGTATTTTAGATGCTGCTCATCTTACTGGATGTGTGTGTGTGTGTGTGTGTGTGTGTATGTATATGCATGCATATATATGCAGAACTCATTAATGTTATTTTGCAATTCTGTGGCATCAGTGAGTTGTTTATAATTTTATCCTTGCTTTCTTTCCTGAGCCACTTTTGCTTAAGTCTTACAGAGTTAATACCCTGAATTCTTAGTAGCATTTTTAATTGCATTTGTATTATTTTACCTCAGATCCACCTGTCTTTTATTTTTCTTCTTGGGTTTTAGTAACCTTAGTTTAACATCATGTGTACATTGAAACTTTTCATTTCTTTTAGAGAAATTGACCTTAGATTGGTCTGTTACTCTCAGACTTCTAACCCCCTTTGAAAACTTAGTATACCTTGTTTTGTGGAGTTTTCATATAATTTAGATGGGCACTCCCTCTGCAAACACATGTGCACGTATGCACACAGAAACACACAATTCATAATTGCAGGTGCAGAAGGACAGAACATGACAACACTAATATTTTAAGGACTTTTAGTATGACATTTTAGAGTTAAGTTACTACTGAGAAAGGATGTATATGATTTATCCCTTCCACTTTGGGGATCATAATTGATAGAGAAAACCCCAACAATTTCTTAATACCAAGAGTGAGAATAAGTTATCTTTAGGAAAATATCCCTATGTTTGCAAATAATGAGTCAGTAAAATGATGAAAATTAAGGAGTAGTGGGCTTCCCCTGGTGGTGCAGCAGTTGAGCGCTGAGCTTCGAAGCTTCCCGCAGCCTCTGCAGCACCAGTTTGATCCCGGCCGCTGGTGAGGCATGACAGATCTCTCCTGCCGCACCCACTGCTTCTTCCCTCAGCAGTGTATTTCGTCAGTCTGCCTGTTCTGTTCCCTGCTCTGGCTCTGGTGAATTCTCTCACCCTCCTGTGCTTCTGACTGTAAAGACACTTGAAATATGATCCTAGGTCTACAAATAAGCTTATCATGTTATATTAACTTTTTTTTAAGATTTATTTATATAAGAACCGGGGCACAGGCCAGATGTGCGGGAGGGTGAGAGAATTCACCAGAGACAGAGTGGGGAACAGAACAGGCAGACTGACTGAAATACACTGCTGAGGGGAGCAGCGGGCAGGACAGGAGGGGTCTGCCTCGCCATGTGGGCATCTCCATGGCTGGCGGGGATCAAACTGGCACTGCAGAGGCTGTGGACAGCTTCACAGTGCTGTGCTCGATTGCCTGAGCCACCAGGGAGGTCCATAACTTGTTTTAATATTTGTGAAGTACTGAAGTTTTTCTGCTATATGTTCACAAGACTTTGGCATCTGTGGTGTAGGTATAAGATGGAAACTATGAATGTGTTTACCAAAAGCAAAGCCCCGTGTGCCCATTAAAATGTTAGAAACAAAGTCAGAAATATAAATGAAAATACTTGTTAACATTTTCTTCTTCTAAAAATTTGAAGTGTGAGTGTAAACATTATATTCCCGAATCTTTGGGCTGATAACTTCATTGAATAAGGATTTTATTATCATGAACCCAAGCAGAGGAATTCTGTGGTTACTTCTTAAATAAGCTTTTGTAAGTAGACTTAAATTACCAGAATTAAGTGAGAATATATAATAGCTCATTTGTTCTTAGTCATTTAAAAAGTATTTCAAAGCTATGGACATCCTCTCCAGAAAAAAAAAAAAAATTATGAACATAATATACATTTCATTTTTAAAAATACCTATACACACTTAGGTATCTCCCAGTAGTCTTTTGATGAGAAATAGTAGACTGGTGGTATATGACACTGTCATTCAGTTAGAAGATTTGACACTAATCACTTCAGGATCTACTAGTAGAGATTCTTCACTTATTTAACAAAAATATCTCTAAGTTTCATTGATTTTTTTTTTTTGCTGTTATTCTTTTATTTCCTGCATATAGATTCAAAACAAATTTCATAAAAATGCAGCTACTTCAAGCTTTGTGATTTATCTTTATAAGGGATTTCATGGTTGTATCATTGTATGCTGATTCCTGGACCCAAGATAATAATATCTGGACATTATAAATGTATTTCTTTTTTGGTAGAAAATCTGTTGCCAAAATTTTTTTGGTGGAAAAATTTAGTAAAGCATAATTTACTCACTGGTTACTAATCTTTCATTGTCTATTGCTGCCGTGTAGAAAATCTTTTATGCAGGGGGAAAAAGGAAAATAATTTAAAGTATTGCCATTTTATGTTTTTTTACATAGACTTAACCCACTATGGTCTTTAGAGATATCCTAGGATAATTAACTAATTTAATTTAGGGAATAGAAACTTTAAGAAGGAATTTTCTCCTTACCACATAACTTAGTGTCAGAGTACATTTTAGGACTCGTGTATCCCATTTTTCAGATTCTCCTGCCTTTGTCCTCCCCCAATTATATTCTACTGCTTTTTATTTATTTACAGGTGACAAATTCTAATTTTGAATAACAAATTACATGTTTCCAAACTTTTCTTTTTAAAAATCTAAACAGAATCAGTGACTAGATTCATAAGTTTAGATTAAAGCATGATAGGTGTGAGATTAACTTTTTGAGATTGACCAGTTTAACACTTAAATTTTTGTTTTTTTTTTAATATTTTATTTATTTATTTATTTATTTATTTATTTATTTATTTATTTATCCAAGCACGGGGTACAGTCAGATGCGCGGGAGGGTGAGAGAATTCACCAGAGCCAGAGTGGGGAGCAGAACAAGGCAGAAGGACCGAAGTACACTGCTGAGGGGAGCAGTGGGCGCGGCAGGAGAGGTCTGCGGGCCATGTGGGACCCTCGCAGGTGGCCAGGGACCAAAATGGCACTGCAAAGGCTGCGGGCAGCTTCATAGCCCAGCGCTCTACCACTGCGCCACCAGGGGAGGCCCCGTTGTTATTTTCTTTTACACAAAGGCTATATTCATTTTCTTGCATCATCTTGAAGTATTTGTTGCTTTGGGGGAAATTTGTAAAGTGTTCTTTAGCATCAAATAAAATTGTAGCCACTTTTTTTTTTTTACAAGCTCTATTTGTGGACACAAAGGTAATTTATTGATTTGTTTTCCACTTTAATTTTGGAATAGGGAGTAATTTTTATGTGGAAAGATCTATCAAAGTCAGTAAATCTTTTGTTATAAAACAGAATTGTTTTTGTTGTTATACATTAATAACAAAATCTTTCAATCATTTTTTACAAATAAAATTTCCCTGTTATAAGAAAGCTAAAATATGAGGGTCATCACCCCCCCCCAACCCTTTTTTTTGGACATATTAGGGATCAAAAGATAAATAGCTTGAAGATATCAGCACTGGAAATTGAAAATGGCACTTGAACTTGAGTATCATCCAAGGTCAAGGTCGCTGAAATCTATCATCTGTATTTATATTCAAGTTCTTAGCATCAGTTCTAGAAGTTTTATAACAAATGCATTTTTAAAAATTACGGTGAACTTTATTAATTGAAATCCTCATAGTAAAAACTTATTTTATCTTAGAAAATGGCCTTAGGCATGCTCCTTTATATTATTGATTTAGACCAGTGTTTGAAAAAAAAATATGAAAAGATTTGAAGTGATTGTTATGCACATGGTGTCCAGCTTGCCAATGATATTTTCTCCTTTTTATAATTTATAAAGCAAAGTATATTAACTCCTGGAATGGAATTCTCCTTAGTAATAAGCAATTCTCGGTCCAAAGGGTTTCCAACATTAGCTTTCATTTTGTAACGTAGAAACTTCACTGTAGTATAAAAGTTAGGACACATTAATTGTTAGAATAGGTCTTGGAACTCCATATGATAATGTAAATTTCCCAGTATTTCCATGTTTTACTAAATTGGAATGTTCATTACATTAAAATTTACAATACATGTAAATAACACTTTGAATTAAGTGTTTTTTTGAAGTTGAGTCAGGGAATAAGGGTGTGAGTTGGGATTATGGAATGCGTTGGGGGAGGTAGGTTCAAGCAAACTGTTATCATAAATAGAAAGGACATTCTGACCTGGGCATTTAGGTTACATGGTTCTTTTCCCCTTTTTCTGTTTGTTACAGGCAAAGGGGAAGATAGTGATGTACTCAGTATAAATGCAGATGCTTATGACAGCGACATAGAAGGCCCATGCAACGAAGAAGCAGCTGCTCCCGAGGTCCCAGAAAATACAGTTCAAAGTGAAGCTGGTCAGATAGATGACCTGGAGAAAGACATTGAGAAAAGTGTGAATGAGATTCTGGGACTGGCAGAGTCTAGCCCAAAGGAACCCAAAGCAGCCACTCTGACTGTTCCTCCTCCAGAAGATGTTCAGCCTTCTGCACAGCAGCTGGAGCTGCTAGAACTTGAGATGAGGGCGAGAGCTATTAAGGCCCTAATGAAAGCTGGTGATATAAAAAAAACAACCTAGTTATTTAACTTGAATCTGTGTTTGAGCAAAGCCATGTCATATTTTGTATCTGAAGTTTATTTTGGGTCTTCTATTTCACATGTAACTCTTATTTGATAAATTCATCTTAGGTCTGAAATACCTATTTTTTTTGTTGTTGCTACTTTTCTATTGTATATGTGTTACTGTTTTTTGAATTCATGGCGAATACCTTTGGATAACCTAGATACTTTGTTAGATGAGTATTTAGTTATGTCTGCAAGTTAATATCCAAAAAGCCATTAGCAAAGAGAAGAGTCATGGCATTTTTTTTTTCTTTATTCTTAAATGTTTTGGCCACCAAATCTAAAAGCCAATAAAGATTGCCTAAGCATGTTGTTCTTAAGGCTACCTATATTTTGCAATAGACTATTAAATTATTGCTTCTAGATTTGTTAACAATTGAAAACTGTTCATTATGTTGCACTTACAACTATGTTCTGTCTTAAAGATGCTTTCTATGAGTGTGGATTTAGTAGTAAAAACTGCATAACAGTTTTTGTTACAAGGCTTACATAGCTGAAATGGATGATTAAAAACTTATTAAAGAAGAAAGGATTTATTATAAGGCCGATTTTTTTAACAATGTAGAACTAACTGCCCAGCTTTAATTCCAGCAGACAAACCATTCTAGCAGATTATTTCATATTATTGGACACTTTGTTCAGGTTTTTCCTTCAATAAAAGGGGAACACATTTTCATTTACATTCCAAGCTATCACGAAAAGAATATTTGATCATATAAGCTTTCATCTGATGTTTTTGCTTGAAGATCTGATGTGCTATAATTCCATGAATTAAAAATAATAAAGACTATCATTCTGGACCTGAAGACTTTTGATACATTTCCAAAAGCAAAATTAATTTCAGGAAGCTTTGATAAATTGATGTTACAATTAATCTAATTTTGTATAGTTTTTGTAAATAAATTAACATCCTGCCACAATCACAGATGCTTTTTGCCCCATCACTAATTACAGTTGTTTGATACCAAAATTAATTCAGGGTAAAGACTCTTTAAGTAAATTAGTTTTTCCTTTTTCTAAAATACAAACCTGGAACTGTTGTTTTTATATTTGCTAGCAAATGTAGTATATTTCATTTATAAACCATGCTCTACTAATGTTCTATGAGCATTTTCCTCATACATAAAACTTGCAGGGATTGGATTGTATTAACTGGCTTTATTACATGTAAATTCTAGAGTGTTTCTTCGGAAACAGTATTTATGAAACATTGGAATTGTGGCTACAAATTTATTTTGTTGTTGCTCTTGAACAGGCTTTTAAATAACCCTATTATTTTTTCCCATTGAATTTTTCTAATGAAACACTGAGGCCTGTATCATTTGAATTACTTCTCTTAGGCTGGTAAATGCAGATATGGTTTAAATAGTGAGTTCTCATTGTTCTGCTTCAAGATGAAAAAACATTGATATGGTAAAATAATTTTTCAATTCCAAATTAAAAAGTTAAAATTACATAGTGCAGAATAAATTTTATTGCTATTTCTGAATTATGAAATGTCATTAGCATTTGTGTGATAAAACATCATAGTAGAAAAAGGTCTGAGTGCTTTGTAGCTGATGATCTTCACTGCCGTTGTAAAGTGTTTTGTCCTTTTGAGTGTGTAGACTGAGTTAGAGTACATTTGACTAGAGTGGATATGCGAGTGAGAATGAGCTGAACGAATTAAAGGCTACTGAGATTTCTACCTTGGAAAATCAACTTTTCCTTTTTATTGGTTCTTTTTTCTTCTTTTTTAGTGGTGAAAGACATGAGATCTTTTTGAAGATGAATGGCTTTAGAAAATAGAAATAAGTTTGTTTTAGAAATGCCTACGTATGAAAAAATACCATATATTGATCTGATGCTATCATTTAAATCATCAGCTCCCACGTATTTATTGAATACCTCTGAGGTGTTCAGTCTTGTTCAGAATCTTAAACTCAGGGACGGCACAGTATAGATTTTAGCATGGAATAGACTGATTAATAAAGATGGATGCCGCTTCTTTATTCCAAATTCCTCCCTTTTGCCAAGGTAGGGGAAATTTCTAGGCAATGATTCATTAGCAAATGAAACAGGAAAAAAGGCAGCGTAATTTTTTTTAATTGAGATAACATTGATTTACAACACTGTATATGATTCACAGGCATAGGATCACACCTCCACAGATGCTTACCACCACACCACATCCACCCCCAAGGCACCTACTGTCCTTCACTATGGTCTGTTTTGCCTCCTCCTGTCTTTGTTTTATCCGCCCCACCCCCTCCATATCTGTAGCCTCAGTTCCACAGATTTCTGGGGTTTATTACTGGTTTGTTACTATATGACACCTTTATTTTGTTTCTCTGTATTCCACATAAAAGTGAAACCTAGTATTTGTCCTTTCCTTTCTGACTTGACTTAGCTTACTTAACATTATCCCCTCCACTTCATCCATATTGTCTCAAATGCAAGAGTTCATTTTTTTTATAGCTAAGTAGTATTCCGATGTGTATATATACCCCATCTTTTACATTTTTTTGAGGAACCTCTATATTGTTTTCTAAAGTGACTGTGCTAATTTACATGTCCACCAACAGAGCATGAGGGTTTCTTTTCTCCACATCCTTGCCAATGCTTTTTGTTTCTTGACTTAGTGAAAGTAGCCATTCTAACCAGTGTAAGGTGGGACTTCATTGTGACCTTGATTTGCAATTCTCTAATGATAACCATTATCTAAAAGTTGTAGACTGTCTTTTCATGTTTATTGACCATCTGTATGTCTTCTTTGGTGAAATGCAAATTTAGATCTTTGCTCATTTTTTTATTTGGGTTCTGTGTTTTCTGTTAAATGATGAGTTTATGTATTATGGATATTAACCCCTTGTCTGACGTACATGGTGGAAATAGCGTCTCCCACTCAGTTGGCTTTTTTGTTTTAATGATGGTTGCTTATGCTGTGCAGAAGCTTTTTAGTTTCCTATAGCCCCATTTGTTTATATTCTTTTGTTTCTCTGGCTGTTGGAAATGAATTCACAAAGACATCACTAAGGTCAATGTCCAAGAGCTTATCTAAACCTGTTTTCTTCTATGTATTTTATGGTTTCAAGTCTTACATTCAAGTCTTTAATATATTTTGAATTGACTTCAGTATATGGTATAAGATAGTGCTCCAGTTCCACTCTTGTAGTTCTTCCAATAAGCTGAATTTTTCTCTTCTATCATTTTACTATCTAAAAGATTTTGTTGTTGTTGTTCTCTCAGTATTTTCTCTTAACAATAATAGTATTATGTTCTTGTGTTTGTAGGACAATGGATCTACCCTATTGTCCTGGTGACAATGCACCTGTCCCGGTAGGCCATGTCGGCAGAGTATGAACCTCCAAAGGACTAAGTCTTTTTTTTTTTAAGATTTATTTATTTATACAAGAACTGGGGTACAGGCCAGATGTGTGGGAGCATGAGATGATTCACCAGAGACAGAGCGGGGAACAGAACAGGCAGACTGACAAAATACACTGCTGAGGGGAGCAGCGGGCGAGACAGGAGGGGTTTGCTGTGCCATGTGGGATTCTCGCCGGCCGGCTGGGATTGCTGCAGAGGCTGCGGACAGCTTCACAGTGTGGCGCTCAACTGCCTGTGCCACCAGGGAGGCCCCAAAGGACTAAATCTTGAAGTAACATCCTGTGTGACCCTCCTAGGAGCATGACTAGAAAGGCAGTCACCAGAACTTTTTCTCATCTGCCTTTCTTGAAGAAGACTTCCTGTCTTGCAGAGGGATGTCTTGAGGCACATTTTTCATCTTCCTCCCTACTTCCTTGCAGACATGAGAAGTTTTATCTTACCCCTCTTAGCACGACTATATAAAGTTGATTAGCTGCAGCATGGCACAGAGGATCCCACCGACCCTGTTGCATTTGGTCCCTCTTGATTTGGTGTCACCCTCACCCTGCACAAAGGTCATGTGGACTTGTCACCTTTTCACCATGGATATAAGTAATAAGGTGTTTCAATATAGAAAAGAGTACATTGTTTTTCTTTACTGCCTGAATGCCTCAGACTTTCCTAGGCCTTTGTCTTGGCCTCATGCTTGACAGTTTTGTGTGTGTAACCTTCTACCTCTCTGAGGATTTTAATTTTAGTGGTGGTTTTTCAAGTTTTCTTCTGCTTTTCTGCTTTCTGATAATTTTCTCAAATTTCCTTATATCTGATCATGTTTGCTGGTTGCATATTAAGAGGAAGGTACTGAAAAACTTAACTGGAAACCCTGTTTATGGATGAGACTCATTAATTGGTAGAACTCACTTTTGTCTTGTTAGAATTAAGAGCAGTATATCCTTTTAGAGGAGCTGAGGATTTCTCCCTGATGGCTTTTACTTCATACCCCTGTTTCATTCGGTTAACCCTGCTCTTAACAAACTCCTTGGTTTGCCTGAATTTAGAAACTCATGCTGCAATTTTGCTAGTCTTCTGTGGAGTTGGAGAATGAATGGTTGCTTGTTTGGGTAAAGACCAGCTTTTCATGTTCACCACCCCTCCACCCCCGTAGTCTATCTTTGTAGGAACTTGGGATCTTCATAACTGAGCCTTACTTGGGTTTATGTTTAGAATCAACTTATTTCTGAATTTTATCTTTTTGTAGGCCTTTAAGTTACAATCTCCGTCTGCCACGTCAATATCACTTATTTGTGTTCCAGCTTCCAAAATTTTCTTGACCCATCTATACCTTCTATTTCATAACCTATCTAAATGAGTTAGTCTTTACTCTGTCATTTTAGTGGATTTTCATAAGGGAGCAGTGGCAAATACAGTATTCAGTGTTCCTTGTTTAGGGAAATGTTACTTAATTTTAAAACTTTTTACTTCTGCCAATCTTATTTTTTTTTTTTCTGGATAAATCCAAGGTTAAATTAGTGTAGCATTTTAGTTTTCAATATACATCCTTTCTTGCGGATCTTTTGTATCTTCATCTTGAGTTAAAAATTTTCTTGTTTCTCTATAGGCATTATATTGTGCTTATTAAATCCTGTGTTCCTTCTGTAGTGTAGTTTTCATTTATGAAATGAGATTTTTCTTTCATCTCTAATTCTTCCTTGAATGCCATCACCTCATATAATTCCTGTTATTTATGGCATGTCATTTCTTAATGACATTAATCTCATTTTAAAATACAAGAATAGTTTTGATATGTTCTTGGATCTTTCTGGTGTACTTTTGTCTGGAGGGTGGTTATTCTCCTTATTCTCTCTTTTATTTCTACATTATTACATAGAATTTGACCTTGATATTTTTGTTTCTTATTTTTACTTGATCATTTTCTTGAACTTTCCAAAGGAATCTTTGAACTCAGAGTAGCTTTTCAGCCTTTATGTTTGTTTCTTTGTCTGATTTTTGGACACTAATGTTTAAAATATGGTGGCTTGCTTTCTAAGTTTCCCTGGCTCTCTTCCCCTCCCCCACTTTGACTTAGACTTCTCTTTCCATCCTGTTAACTTTCTCTGTTCCCATTTTGATTCCATAACCATTTTGATTCCATAACCACCTTAGTGCGTGACTCAGGTCTAGAAGGGAATGCTGGGCAGTTTCAGGTGATCTTAGGTGCTAGACTGCTCCAGCTCCTTTCAGACCTTGTCATTCCTTGTGCCACCTGCTGATCTTAGAGGCAGAACCCTTCCCAAGTTCAGTTGCTGCCCCAACTGAACTTTTCATGATTTCTATTTTAAGTTTCTCCTATTACCTATTTGATGCACAATTGACTTCCCCCTGCCCTCTCCCATAGAACTGCTGTTGTTATGTAAGTAGTATGACTCATTAGTGGTTTGTTCTAATCTGCTTATATTTGGGGTCTCATAGGGATACCTTAGTTTTGTTTTGAACATTGCCCAGGGTTTTTGGTTTTTCTTTCTACTGTTCTGCCTTTTTTTGTGTGTAGGTATTAAGAAAAGATTAAAAGACTCTTTTGCTACTGCCACTATCATCCCATGTATTCACACTTCAGCATATACAAATAAAATGTATTTTATATCAAGGAAAATTAATTTACATGTAAAATATCTTATTGAATTATTTATAGTGTATTCTTAAAACTATTATTAATTTTGATGTCTTTCTTAAAAAGGTACTTCTTATTTGGAAAACTAAAGCCTGTGTGTAATCTTATTTGGTAGAGTTGTCAGCCTGATATATAGAAGTTAGCACTGCTCCTTAATAGCAAAGGAATTTAGCTTTATTGGGCATATTCTTATAATAGATAATTATGATAAGTTGAAGAATTTTTAAAATCTGTTAAAATTAAAAATTACCTAAAATTAAAAATACAGCATAGATTCAAAGGATCAGTTGTTTAATATTCTTAAAAGTTTTTGGAAGAGAAGATTTAAATTTTCACTTTTAAAAGACAAATTATCTTTCCTTTTTGAACAATTTCTATTTATTCATTGCTCTTCTGTCTGTCATGCCTTCTGTACTTGAAATATATTTTCTCAAAGTCCAAAAGAGAATTTCAAGTTTTGGCAAATGACTTTTTCCTTCTAAGTTACTTTGATATAAGATTTTTAAGTAAGATCTGCCTTTAATGTATATTTAAGTCACAACATTAGTGGATATTTGGTTTTATCACCTCTCATATTTATCAGTCTATTATAACATGGTCATAAAACAAACACACACAACTCTACCTGAAGTGAGATTCAGAAAGGATTCATTAAGTTTTCCTTTCTGTTCCTTAGTGGAAAAGATACCTTGATACAGTTGCTAACTATAAAACATTTTGTTATTAAATATTTGTGTATAGGTTTATTTGTGAGATTTTTGAATTAGTAAACATGGAAGAAGAGAACATATGAAGAACACAGATATAAAATTAAAATCTGATGAGGTCCTTTGACTTAAAATTATATAAACTTTTTTGTTTATTTCACATCAAACCTGCATTGTGATAAAAGGAAAAAGTTTTATGTCAGGTTTCATGTTTTATAGTTTTTTCTTGCCATTAACATTAAATCATGGCGAATACTTAATGCTTTCTGAAGTCTGCATCAGACTGCTGCTGCCAAAGAACTTAACTGTCACTACTGCATGGTCATGAAACTGCAGAGGCCAAAAGAATCATCCTTTTGTGTGTGTGTGTGTGTGTGTGTGTGTGTATGTTCATACAATTAACTATTTCAAAAATAATACTTTAAGATATCATCTTTTCCCATCTAATTTGTGAACTTTTTTGTGAGAACTTAATGTAAAATTTTACATGGCAAAAATCAGTTTTATATAGCTTAGTGTTATCCATGTTGAGTAAATGAGAAAAGTCTCTCCAGTTATAAACCGTGTTTACATCAAGTTAACTACAACTAGAGGAAACTGGTTTCATAGTTACCTGTATATAATGATTAATGTTAATTTTTTAAAGCCTGTTAGTCTTTAGTGAAAGGTAGGTATTTCATTGATTATCCTTTTTTAAAAACTTTTTGTTATTTTTTGAATCCCCAAAAAAGAATCTTTGTTAGGTAGATTGATGCGGAATTCAGAAGTTTTGATTTGTAGTTCTCAAAGTTTTATTTAAACCATGAGTGATAATTGTAAGCACATAGTATAGTGAATTAGTTTGAAATGATTTGTCTTTATTAGCCACATGCCATCAGACAATTGTTTTGATTGGTAGGAAAATAAAGTTAAAAGTTTATAAAACTACCAAATGGATAGTCAGCTGAAGGGTGCAGCTACCCACACTGGCTAGGGAGTAAGTCTGCTTTGAACCTGTCCTCCTGACCAACCATTTTAGTAAATATTTTGTCTCTTTTTTGTTTCTTTTCTTCCTTTTTCTCTTGCACTTCACTTTTTGTTTATATAGAAGAACTGGCTGTAGGCCAGGGATGCAGGGGATTGGGGGTGAGGCAGGTTAGAGGATTCACTGGAGACAGTGGGGAGCAGAACAGGTGGATCTACTGAAATACACTGCTAAGGGGCCAGTGGGAAAGACAGAAGAGGTCTACTGAGCCATATGTGGGTTAGCTGCCTGGCCTGATTGAACTTAGGCCAGTGATAGAGCTAAGACTTAACTCCTAGTCCACCCGGGAGGCCCTTACACCTCATTATTAGCTCTTTCCTTTTCTGCCAGTTCCCTGCCCTACACTTCCTGAACTGTTCATTATTTGAGGCAAAATATTTTTTTCTTTTAAACTTTGTTTAAGACCTGTTTTTCATTTTATGGTAGATAACTGAGAATATTATAGTCATAAGGAACCAGAGAAACAGAATTTTCTGGGATGGGATATTAAAGATCTGTTTTAAAATACCAACAAGTTGAATACTTTATATGATTTGCAAAAATATGCTTTCTTGAGTTAGTGTTTTTCCATTACAGAAAAGATTAAAGGGTCTCATTACGCCTCTTTCCCCATCCCCCACAGTAGTTTCAGTATATATGTCACTCAAATACTAATTTTTTCCCTTACATTTCCACCACAACTTCAATTTAAATTATCAAAAGTATTCGAACACTGATTTTTGAGTTCAAAGGTGTTTTTAAAGTTTGTTTTCTAGTTCCAAATTTCTCACCTATAGTGCTGCAGGCTTGTTGCAAAAAACTTGGACAAAAAGGTATAAAGAGGAATCCTACTATCTAGATGTATAGACTGTTTTATATAGTGTTTAAAATAATTATCTGTTAATGAAATTAGCAGTGCGCACATACACACAATCATGCAATATTTATCTTGGTAATAGTGTAAGGTATAAAAAGATAAAAGAAAAATCTGGAGGAAAGCATTTACACAAATATAAAAGGTATAGGGTTGATATTCTATCAACATGTATTACATGTAATCAAGAAATTATACCCTTGGGGGCCTCCCTGGTGGCACAAGGGGTTGGGTGCCACACTATGAAGCAATCTGCAGCCTCTGCAGCACGAGTTCGATCCCTGGCTGGCCAGAGAGCAACCCACATGGCGAAGCAGACCTCTCCTGACTCGCCAGCTGCTCCCCTCAGCAGTGTATTTCACTCAATCTGCCTATTCTGTTACCTGCTCTGTCTTTGGTGAATCCTCTTGCCCCCCTCATCTCTGGCCTGTGCCCCAGCTCTTGTATGCATAAATGGATAAGTTAAAAAATAAAAATAAAAAAAAGAAATTACACCCTTGTCCTGAAATGGTGTGTTCACTATGGTTGCTGATTCTTCAAGACTGGAGTATTTTGGAAGGGTGGGAGAGAATGCTGGGGGAATGTGCAGAGAAACAGGAAAAATGACAGTTGTCACTGAAATACATAAAACACCTTCAGTTATGTGATCCTTGGGGACGATTTAGAGCAGGAGCAAATAGTATCACACTCAGAAATTTTTGTTTAAGCATCACACCACAGTATGATAATTGATGTTTCTGATAAATCCAAGACTGCAAGGAATGGAGTTTATGTGCAATTGTATTCAAATAAGTTTTATTGTAAAAATGTGTTAAAGGTGTTTTGGTGTAAGAAGACTAAGGAAAGATACTTTTCTTGGTTTATGGCTAAATAAGGCATCCTCTTTAGGCAATTATTTGAAACAAACACTGTTATATTCATGCACATTTGTATTTAGTTCTAGGTGCAGTCAAACTCTACATTTCCTGGAAAATGGTAATTTGTGCTCTCAGAAACAATACAATGAAGAAAATGGACTTGTATACTCTGTGGTAGATGGCCACTTAGTGCCATTTGAAGTATAAGGTGTTTATCATTGAAAGCTGAAATTAGCCCCAGAACTAGCAGGCTGTGTTTGACAGTTTAAAGGTGTAAACTCAATGAGGAACATAATTAGGGATAACAGGCTTTTATGCTTGACAGGGGTAGGCGGCACATTTACTTAACATGCATTGCTTAATATTACCCTCTTGATGGATTCTCCAAATATTTTTTTCCATGGCAACATATGCCTCTATATGTTTGGCATCTAATATGAGCAAGATTTTTTTTTAAATGGCTGGTTGCAGTTAAATAATAAGAATTCTATAGTATGGTCAAAGTGAAATGTCAAATATTTCGTATATAATAAGTTTGAGTACTCTAACTTATTGAAAGAGTTCAGTTACACTACAGTCAAGAAATCAAACTTTTTTTTTTAAGAAATCAAACTTTTTAACAGTTGTGAATCTGTAATCTTCAGCTTCCTCACAATTCAGTGCTCTGTGAAACCAGCACTTCCTCTGCCTGCCTTGCTTTTGATTTTTGTGTTTGTTTTCTCCTGAGGAGAGTTCCCAGATTATATTTCCATATCAGATCCTGTAAGCGTTCAAAAATTTAACTAATCAGAGATATGAATAACCTTTTCTTTGTTGTAGAATTTTGAATAAACAATGCCTAAGTAAAATAGTAGAAACACAATAAAGGGAAAATACTCTTTCAGTGTTTTAAATTTGTGTCATGTCCTTTTTTTTTTTTTTTAAAGGGGGTAGGGAAGAAAAGAACTTCAGATTTTTATATTTAATTGAACTAACAGCATGTGCTGACAAGTAATAAATAACAGCGGTTCGAAGTGACTAAATAAATTGGTTTCCACAAGCAATGATTCATCTTCTGTCTTTCATTGCCATCAGGCTAAGAGACAGCTTCTTTTTTGTCAACTTACAAGAAAAATATTTGACAGTAAAACAATCCTGTTTCTACTCCTGAAATAAAAGCTCATTATCTTCTATCATATTGTAGTTGCATTTAAAAATATTTAAATACAATTTTAAAAATATTTAAATACAATGATTAAGTCTATATTTGGTTGTTCATTTACCTAGAACTTTGTGAAACCATACTCAGTCTTGGTGGTGTTTTATAATATTTTGGTAGGGTCATATCCCTTTTAATTTTTCCTTTAACTCATGGTTTACTTAGAAATGTGTTACTTAGTTTCCTAATATTGGGGGATTTCCTAAAGACCATTTTTATTTATACTTAATTTAATGGTATTGAGGACATATGCTAAGTTTTGTATGACTTGAATCCTGAGTCATTTATTAATGTTTGTGTCAAGTCATTTATCAAGGTTTGTACCATGGCCTA